CTTGCAGCCTCCACAAGAGTTGGGGTTGACACCTGAGGTGCTTTCTGGGTATACCGAATCAGAATGCTGTGTAAACAAAAAATAACTTTCATGCTTTAATGCAGGCAGAAAACTGTCTTGATGTAATATATTTCAAGAAGAGAAGATTCACCCAACCCAACTAAGATGTTTTTCCTGACTAATTTTTCCCCCACTAATCAAAGTATCTTTACTTCTAGACTGATAGCATAGTACTGGAGGAAGACCTTGTCCTGAGAAACCTAGTGGCTGTAAAAAAAATACATGGAGCATAAGATCTTATTCTTAACTCTGTATTAAAATCATAAGGAAGTGACATTTCCCTAGCCAGATCACATTAATGAATATACTCCATGCTGCGTTAAATAAATTCTATCACAAACTTACACATATTAACATTGTGACAAACTCAAAAGACAGAGGTGAAAAGAGATATGGCTTAATAGAAACCATGCCTGGATAAATGAAAGGAAATAATATCTACCTGATACATTATATAGCAATTAATAACATCTACTATTTAATAAGGAACCATAACAAATAAAAGCCGATGTGTTTCAGGTGAAGAGGTGCCCACTCCAAACTCTAGAGCTAGAAGAATGCTAAAACTGAATATGAAATGAACAAGGAATAATGTGTCTGTTCCAGTGTGCTCACTTTGCTTCCATGGATAAAGTTCTATGGAATTGGGACACGACTCTAGAAGGCCATTCAGTCTCTATCTCTAGGAGGAAAATTCCATAAGAAGACAAGGTCATAACTACAGAAGTTTAGCTGTAAATCCCAAATCCCAATGTTTTCCCAAGTGAACTCTTACTCATGTAAAGTGTTTACATGCTATCTAAATCTTTTGTTATAGTTTTGTGTTCAGCATTTCTATGAATCCTTGAGTTTCTGCTACCTAAAGCAGGCTTCTTCTTTTTCTACTAAATATTGTTCTGTTGTTTGCTCATAAACTCCACCTAACCCTTTAAGGACACTCCAGTTATAATGTATCAAGATATGCTGAGTCTTCAAAACTTCCACTCCCAAGTGTCTAGTGCTTATATTATATAGAGATGCAGTCCTCTTCATCCCTCCATAAAAGATATCTCCTTAACAGAGTTTTTTGACAGATAGAGATTGTGAATAATGTGTTTTCATTGTGAAAGCCATATGCTGCATGCCCTATACACTGTTTTAAATAATCACAAATTGATCAAGGAGAAAAAAAATTGCAGATAAAACTACTCACGCGTTTTGGAATCCATACTCTCCAAGCTTCTCATAAAGCTCACAGTTAGATTTTACCACATTCTTGGGCTCCTCTATAAGAGGCTGAAATTCTGCAAGCTGCAAGAAAAAAAAATTGTGTTCACAGCACCCTTCCTGAGAGCCCAAAGTAGGTGACCTTGCAATACTGCTGTCAGGAGACCTTTTGTGCCACATCTTTTACCTTGCATTAAATTGTCCCTTTTATTTGCAAGGTCATTTGGCACAAGTCAAATGAGAATCTTCAGGCTCTGGGATTCAATGGCTGTGCTTGAAGCAGGCCACCTGATGTATTTTCTTGTTGTGTGACTGTTCTTTCCACATCCAAGCTTCAGACTGATCTTGTCTACACTATAAAGCATTAAGTGTCCTCAGCGCAGGAACTGGTCTTTTAACCCACAGAGTGGATGCAATTAAAATCGCACCTAGTGCACAGCAGAAGTGCACTAAACGGTGGCCATTACTTTCAGCAATCTATCTAAGGTCTCTCTTGAGGTCTCTGAGATGTGAGCATCCACCCCAGCCTCAATCACAGAGTGGTGTCTTGTATTCAGCTATTTCTTTGTAAAGTATGGCTCTCTTCTGGTCCCAGATGATTCAGAAACCAGTATGTGCTGACAGGAGTTCTGACGTCCTCCACAACAAACTTGAAAGCAGAAATTGTCATGAGTCTACTCCAAAACCTTCTCCAAAATGTTTGAATGTTGTTTAAAGAGATAGAGTTCAGAAACTGCTTTGAGATATTAACTCTAATAGTTGACAGTATAGTAGAACACATTAATGGTCTTTAAATCTAAGTTAAATAAATCAATTTTATTCTCAGAAGTATGAAAAAGGAAAAGTTGCAATAAAGGTTTTGTGCAAGTAAAACTTCCTTCCTCTCTTTGAACCTGCCTTTTGCAGATAGGTTGTTCTAGATTTCCTTATATTTTATCCAAAGGGTTTATCCTATGGTGTTAAAGAACTTTAAGACCTCAACCTTGTCTCCATCCCAAGAAAACATCTGGAGTGACCTACATATCAATT